TTCGATTAGCCGAGGCAACCTAGTATGACGACTTGCCACAACTTCCTCCCTCCATTTCTTCTTTTTTCATTGTCTTCTTCGAGCCACTTTTCCAAATTCTTTTCACCACGAAGTATTAAGTAAGCGAAATTCCAACAAAAGGCTGGAAAATGGATGAGAGTAGCGAGCGGAGTGACACGGAGGGGAAGAGAGAGAGAGAGAGTTGAAATATTCGGGGCGTAAAGGTTCCGACAAATTTCAACGCCGTGTTTCATCCAAGTCGTCGAGATTTCATTTTCGCCGACCAGAAATCCAGAGAGATTTTCGGCTGGAAGACGTTTATGGGGGTTTAATTATGGGCGAGCGAGTTTAATTATGTTGTTTGGCTTAGTCGCGAAACTAAGTGAATAACGAGTTCGAGCGGGAATTAATAGAAGGATGATAATAAGGAAAATTTGGAAAATTATTTTTTACGTACGAGGCGAATAATCATGTTTTCGTGAAAAATCATATTATTCGAGGATTATCTTATTTTCAATTTAATTAATTTCGATGATTTATTAACAATGATTTAAATTATATATGAAAGAGAAGGGTGATTTGTAACGATCTTTCTTTCCATCTAGATTCTCCACAGATTGCCACTTCTTTCACATTTATAAGAATATAAAATTTTATTACGTTTGAAATGTACGAATCTCGTGTCGGATATCCATTTGAATTATCGCGGAGCATGGATAGTTTTGTACGTGTAATTCCACGCCACAGATGCAAATTTTTAATTAACGACGTCCCGTTTCAATTTCGCCCGAACTTTCCTTTTATCACGAATTATTTTTCCGTTCCTTTATAATTTAATTATCCTCGGTGTTTGAAAAATGGAATGGAAGCGGGGGAGGAAGCCGCGTAGATACCGATAATTATCATCTCCCTGCCTCTGTAAACAGGGTCAGATGAACGGAGGGACGTTACTCCACGAGCTGTGATCGAATTAATTCGTATCGGCGAGGAAAGTCAAGGTTAATGATCGGTAATGGAGGACGAGAGTTTGATTAACGGTGAATTGAAGTTGAATGGCGTCGTTCAGTCGAGTTTTTGAAAAAGAAAATTGTCGAGAAGAATTTATTTGATAACACGCATTTCGTTTTAATGCTCGTGTGCATTATTGCAGGTACGTGACGGTAGGAAAATTCTTTCCCATCCGCCGCCATAGCGAATGCAAGGATGAAAATGATCATCTTGGAAGGATTGTCTGCCTATATTTATATATAATTTATCTCCATTTGTTTGCGTATTATTAACTGACAAAATTCGATTTGACTCGTTTACCGGTTCTAATGTAATTGATGGATATCTTTTCATCGTAATCATCGTATTTCTCGAAGAATTATAACGTGAACTAGCCGAACTAATAATTCTTCTTACGTATCCTACGCATCTTGATCAATCCATAACCTCTTTCATGCAAGTCGAAAGGGATACTTGGGTTTGAAAAAATGCAGAAGAAAGCATAATTCGAAGGCCCAAGTGTGCGCGAGCGTGTAACGAAGCGAAACCGTAACATGCGTCTGCACACGTAATAACATACGAAAATAACGAAACAGAGGTTATGTTGCAGCATAGAGAAGTTGGATCCTTCCTCTTCCCTTCTCAACTTCCTTAAATTATCAAGTTGTACCGTGTATTTGTCGCTCGTGCAACATTCACGAGTGTTTCGAAAACTTGGTTAATTAGAACTCTCCAGTTTTCTACCATTTTCACTTAATCACTTTCGATGAAATTTTTTTCTCTTACGAAATACAAACTACAATCCAATCTTTCCAACGTTCGTGATATTATAATTTTGTGAAAATTTTTGTGACAATTTATATCATTTACAATTTCAATCATCGCCATCTTCGTTTCATATTTTATATCTCAGAAACTAAAATCGAAACAAAAATATTATATTGTAGAATTGTATGAAAAGAAAAGGTTGTTTTTTATAATCCCATAAATATATCGTTGAAAATACATCGATTAATATTGCAATTTCGAATCTTGTTAAAGCTTTCGTATCCGAAAATATCATTCTGAAATCTTCGCAAAATGTTCGAGAATTCAATTTATCACGTTGGATTAGATTACATAAAATTTCCACGTGATATCTCTCTGTATTTGTATAAATTAAACACGGAATATTTATATTCATATCGTGGCATTCCTCGTACATAATGGCGCGAGAAGTCGGTTCCTCGAGATGCCTAGATTCTTCTATGGCTCCGCTGTATAGGAGAGATTGCGCTCGCGCGGGCAAAAATAAAATAGAAAAGTGGGAAATTACACGGTGAGGATGAGGTAGACGCGTCCAGAGACTGCGTTTCCTCTGCCAAGGATACAGTTAATTTCGAACGCGGCCGAGGCAGAGAAACATGGCTAGCGGTTTACCCATAATTCTCAACGAGAAGGAAAAGCACAGGGTATGGCTCTCGTCTTATTTAAAATATCCCTCGTTTAGCTCCGTTTTAGAAAGATGGTAATTATATCGTTAATTATTGTAACCGCGCACAATATAGTCACCACCGGATTTAATCGTGGAAGGATTCCTTTTCTAACCTTATCTATCCAGCATTCCAACACTGTGTTACGAGAAAATGCGTGGAGTATTATTTTCTTTTTTTTGAAAGAGGAAAATTAATTTTAAAGTTTTAGCATTCTTTTAGATAAAATTTTGTGTGGAAATATTTTTTATCGTAAGACGATAGAAAGATAAACATGGAAACATTTCATAATTTGAAAACTTTCTCCGTTGAAGAAAGATTCTCGTATGTAATTTACAACTTAATACTTTCAAATTTTAATTTTAACACATTTGTAACAATTTTATTCACGAGTTTTCGAACATTTTCATGAATCACTATGTATTTATAATCATATAATTTAAATTGATATTTATTATTAGTTTCTTATTAACCCTTAAGTGGTTATTTCGTATATATAAGTATGTTATAACTAAAGTCATTGAATAACGTAATGACATACGGTATAATAATATATGCGCATTATTTTGTTACAGGTAATAAGAAATTATATACGAGTATGTTTTATAGGTGTTCATAGTCGTATTTCGGTACATTATAATTAATATTTTATGAAATATAATATTTTATGTGCATATGTTGTATGTATATTGGTTATATCATTAGTTCGAAAGTACATTTAATTAATATCCGCAAGGATATATAATTGAGCGTTATAATATTCATTTTCAGATTTAAAATTAATAGTAAAATAGTATTTCAATATAAAAATATCCCGAATAACGTATCTGTTTAATGAGAGCAAAATATCGTCAACAAACAAAAATTTCTATGTATATATAAATTTTTCCACGAATGATTTCTCGTAGTAAAAAAAAAAAAAATAAATAAATAGAATCTCTAAAAAATGATTAACCGGATGCACGTTTTCATTAAATTATTAATTAAAATTATTCAAATTGAATTTAATTAAAACATAAAAAAATATTAATCTATTCGTTGATTTCTATAAATACATTCTATAAATTCTATAAATAAATTCTATAAATAATTCTATAAATAAATAAAAAAGAATTAATATTTAATTTACTCTATACAATACAAAATTAATTTTCACGAACAACTCTTTCCAATCTATCTCTTTCAGAAAATCGATTTTTATATTTGATATTTAAATATCAAATGTATCTCAAATGATAGAAATTATTCATAAATATTTACGATGTATTAATCTCAAGTGACCATGATTTTATATTGTAACAATCGATCAAAAAAGTTTGAAGTTATACTATATATTCCTGATCATAGTAGATACATGTGTGTATTTCATATACATAGTGATGCATCCTGTCATCGAAGCGTATCCTTGATTCGCTCCTCTATACATATATACTTATAGTATTCCGTGACGCACATTTTATAAGCATACATTGTGATTCTATACTCGCAATTGTTTACTTGTGCAGATCGTTCGAAAGATTCAACGCATAATGTGTGCAAAGCAATTTTAGATCGATATTCAAGTATATTTTGAAACTACTGTATTTCAAAATTACGACTTTAAATTTCACTATAAGATTGTATAAAAATTTCACACGGAAATATCAAATTATCGAAAAATGCACAATTATCGGATTCTACGATAATTATTCGTCCATTTTTATTTTTATAGATGTGTGAATACTTATATTGGTATATGTAACGCTTGGAATATTGTTTTAGGTTATTAGCAAAGTGTTCGTAATTAAAATTGATTTCTGGAATGGAAATTTTTATTTTCTCTTCTTATAAATTGTCGTACGCGTAAAAATCAGGGAATTAATTAAAATAAAGAATTAAATTATCGGTAAAATACACATTAGACAAGTTTTTTTAACAAAGACACAAAAGTTTCAAACGATAAACAATAAACAAAGTTCACAGAAATGTATTGAATATTACAATAGAACATTGTCGAAAATTAAAAGAAAAAAAGAAAAAAAAAAGGTTTCCTTTATTGCTTCAATTTAAGAACAATATATTTTCAATATATTCAATATGAAACACTTGGAAAGAAAAGTTTAGTCGAGTTTAAATTAAATTATCGAAGAATTAATTATGATAATAAAAATATCATCATCGTTTATCTGAAATACATGTTTTTATATAAAATAATGAAAAATCCTTGATAAATTGAATTTCTAAAAAATCATGATCCAAAACTTGCACACACATGCACACCTAAGCACCATTTCAAAAGCAATTCCTAACCTAACATTTACACATTTTTCGTTAATTCACTTACTGTCACTTAATACCAATTTACTATCACTAATTTAATTTATTATTTTCAATATTTTTCCAAAAATACAGGAATCAACATCACTACACAATTTTAACACATGTATTCTACAATACGTATTTTCAATTTTCGAAACATTCATAGCTTTTCGTTCAACTGACTTTACGACCATATCGGTTCTCTAGATAAAATACGAAGTAGGAACGACAAAGGACTTTTACCTTGTGAGCATGACATGGTTAACTTTGACGACACTCATCAAACGGAATTTTTCTAATCTTCGACAACTCGAGAAACGAAACTACCTCGAATATCACTCGAAATCCGGCACTGGAATCACCGCATATTTTCGTCGCTTCGAAAAAAAACGTGATGGATCGCGCACGAATTTATAAATAACGTGTATCGAGCGAAGTCACGTGAAATCCCTACAGTACAACGGTTCGTACTGAACTGACGGTTCTCTCTCCAGAACTGACCGACTGTGGCTCGATGAAAAAAAGTATACATACGTAACCTGTATGTACGCATGTACGTATTACGTATTCGTTGGAAGAACAATTAGTCGAAACGATAATAATAGGTAACGCTTCATTCTACGACTTGATCCAATCGATAAAATATAATATTTGGAAATACTTTTTTTACATGTGCGTTTATTTTAAAAATAAAACTGACAATCATTTTTCACGGAAATAAAACGATCTAATAAAGTTTCTAGTAATGTTTATAGTAAATTTTTTTTTCACTAATAATAGATACATTGTTCAGTATTAATTGAAAATAATATATTTATGAATGTAATATATATAATTGAAAAATAAATATATTAAGCCTAAAAACAAACGAAATGAGTGAGAAAATAATCACGTTTCTTTAAAGAAAAGTATAGGTTAAGTGAGGTTATATTAACTTCATTTTTATGGAAAATAATCATTATTTTTGTATTTGATAATTCAAGAAAACGTTTTAGAACACAAATTTAGATAAAATATTTTGCAATTAGAATATAACCTATACGCATTTTATCACAATTAAACAATTAATTTCTCAAACTATTCGTTTATTTAGAAATATATAAAGCAAAATGAATGGACTTTATTAGATGGATTTAAATTGATATTCATATAAAAAGATAAAAAATAAATTTTTTTTTCGAGAAAGAGATAAAACGAATCAAAAGTTTCTTTTTAGATGATGATGTAGATTTCAAGATAACTTTTGTTTTTTTTTTGGATTTTATAAATATATTTTGATGTTGAAATAGCGTTTTATCGGACGAATTTCGTCATTTCGAGTAAAAAGAAAATAAACATTTTTTAATTTGATTTATTATTTAGAAATCTAGAATTGTAATATTTTTGAATCAATAGAAAATTGAATTGTGCTATAATATTATATTATTTTTATTATAAATTATTCCAATGTATTATGATACAATTTGAAGTCAATATTATAACCAAAAATAGAAAACAAAACAATTGAAAATTAATTTTTTAAAAATAACACTAAAATATTTGAATATTAAATATTTTATAGTTTAAAAGTTTGTTATAAACTATCTCGTACCATTATATAAAAATTATATTAAAAAAAAATAATACCGAAACTTTTGATTTTATCTTCTCGAAATGACCAATTAAAAAAATTGTTCTATAATTCTAACCTATATTATGATCTACTCACGATGTTTCATATGAAATAAAATTATCGTTGATTTTGATAATATAATTTATTAGTATTGAATTTGACTAAAAGTATACGAATACTTTTACGAGTGATTGTACATCGCTATGACTCTCAATCCGCCATTTTACAGAAGAGATGGAATTAAAATGTAGCGCCGACGTTTGAAAATTAATATTTGACCTGTTTTTTTTTCTAAAAGTGAAATAATTACCAGCTTAATGAAAACATCAATGAATATTTCCTTTATCGAGTAACCGAGATTAAAAATTTTGTAAAATGTATATTTTACATTTTCTATCACTATCGTAAAACGTTTCTTATTCTTTTTTATGTAAAATATAATTACCAATATTTTTATCTCAAAAGAATTACACCGCGTTTTTTTCATTCAAACTGCGTAATTCTTTCGATGTAATAAGATGACGAATCAATGAGTGTTCAGCGTGACACGCGCGAAATCAAGATAGCTATACCCAAAGGCACACGTTTTAACCGCTAATCGATTAAGAACAGGAGAGTGTCTGCGTAACCACCACTCCTTCTCGTAAAAATTTATTAGCTTATACCGCTAATTAGCAGTTGTATACGCTTGTATCGTAAATCCGGTCAAGGATGGTTATTCTTCGTTGTGTATGTCATGTCAATTTTCCAACTAATCGTCGATTCGTAGCTATTTACGACGTTTAGAATGAAAATTGAAAAATAAGAATAATAAAATCGGATTGAGCGTGTTTGAATCTCTACTCTACGATCTATATATAATTCTCGAGTAAAAAAAAAAAAAGATAAATTTTGAAATATTTCGACGATATATGATATCATCTTCTGTTTAATTAACATCGATAATTAACAATTGCTTTTCGCAAGTAAATAAAACTTAATTGAAAATCGTGCAAAAACTGAAGACATCGTAAAAAAAAAAAAAAAAAAAAGAAGAGACTTATATATATAACAATGATATATTGTTGACTTTACTACAAATATTTTCATATCCTAATCTCGATAAAATTAATTTAATAGATCTGTAAACTGTCGACAACATTACCAAATTAACGACCATATAATTTATTTATCCAAAGAGATATGATCGATTATTATGCGATACATACACAAGCGTACATTACCTATACGTCTATTTCTATTTCTTCACGAAACAGGAAAAACCAGTTATTTTAAAAAAAATTCATTTTCCCCCCGACAAAGATAATTTTTAAACTCGAACAAAATAGCGCCATTTAGATTGTATAACGCGTCGCGAAATGTAATCAAAACTTAATTTGAGCTGGATTAGCATGCACGTGGTATAGACTATAACAATGTTGGTCAGTTTATCCGAAGCCAACCAAATTCGTTACTACAAGCAGTTAGAAAGCTTGTTTCACTCGGAGGTTATTTCTCGTTTCTCCTTACCTGCGTTTAAAATTTTCTTCATCTTATTTATCTTAATGGATCGTTGCACTCTTAATCACTAAAACGTTGATTATTTATTTTTACCCGATTTAAACAAATCGTTATAAATATATTTGAAATTTGTACATGATAAAAATATATCTTTATACAGCCAAAACTATAATTTTATACAATCCATTCTTATCTTATCGTAATCGAAATAGAAGACTTTAATCGAATTTAGAATAATTTCTACTAAATCGAACCCTTCTACTTGTGCGCTTAATTAAATTAAATTGCAAATTAAATTTTCTTCTGTAAATCGTATACAATCAAGAAAAATTATTATTCTCGTTTCTTTCCTCCTCCAAATTTTGCAATCTCCGTGAGATTCAAAGATTTTAACTTTCAACAACGAAGAAAAAGAGTAATTACAATACTAACAACTCGATAATTAAGCTTGAATCGATATTTTTACGTAACCAGTTTTCAACCTGTAGAATCGAGCTCCTAAACGAATGTATCAATACCCTGTGTAAAATTCAATGGACAAACAAGTTAGAATCAATTGCCGCTTCATTTCTGCTGCCAGCAATCACGCGTGGTTAATTCACGAGAGATGTGGTAAAAGGAAAAACCGTACTATATTTCTTGTCTCTATTGATTATGTTACCGATGGAGCGTTCAAAGGGGGTTGGCTTCCTCGACTAGCGAAGCTTGATGGGTCGAGAGGCCCTATTTGTGTTCAATCCTGTTATAAATCTGACGATGATTATATCGTACGTGGAAGAAGAATCGTTTATGTACATTTTATATATATATATATATACACACACACACACACACGTATATATATTATATGAATTCGATTTGTATATCCATGGTTAATGAACTCTTAGTAAAAGAACCAAACTTGGTGTTAGACAATTTACGACGTGAAGCACAAATAAATGATCGTCACTCGTGAAAGCGACTTGGGTTCTCGGATTTTTATTACACAATACGACACATTTATGCGCTATAAAACTTAATCAATCCGCAACATCGTGCGAGATTGGTGTCTTCATTTGTCCATCCGACGAGGAGACCCGACAATTTACTTTTATTTCAATCATTTTATAGTTTATGGAGAAAATTTACGCAGTACTTAACTAATTAATCGTCGATCGATATGTTAAAAGGTTAAATAAATCGTTGAAAAATCTGCTTCAATCGATATTAGATATTCGAAAAATATTTCTCGTATATCCGCCAATGGAATCCACGAGCTGCACTCTAACTGTTCCGCCGCGAAAAAGAACGGTTCAACGGGATGCTTCCCGCTCCAAATACGACAAGTAATTCTAACCTATGTATAACTTATTTCTCGATGATACGCATCAGAATCGGATCTTGATTTTTCCAGGATCGAGCATCAAAACGAACGATTGTGAAACGATCTTATTTGAATAAAGCTTGTAAGAAAAATTTCACATTTTTTTTTTTTTCCCCTTCCTTTCTTTCACCGTCTTCCTCCAGACAATGCAAGTAATGCATGCAAACTCGGTCTGATCGGCTTAATGAGGATGTACTCCGTCTGAATGGCGAGTGCAAATTACGCGCTCTCCTTTTCTCGCCACGTTGTATACACGATATTAATATTACACGTGTTGTTACATCCACCTCGATTAATCGCATTATCACGTGGCCCCGGGTGTTTATATTATTCCGATTCTCTTTGACGAACGGTCGCGGACAATGTTCGAAACGGTTTCGATGACCAATTCGTAGCTCGTTGTTCGCACGGGTATCCCGGTGCTATTGGTGAACTGTTGTTCGTGCACTCGAGAATTATTTTTTTTTCCATAATGAAAAATTCCTTCCAACAATAATTTGAGATAGTGTAGCAAGTGTATTTTACTTTCAAACGGATTCATTGAGGGTATGAAGGTTTCAAATAATATCTGAAAGTAAAATTCTCGAGATTTATCATCGAAAGTTATTTCTAATTTTTTAATTAAATTATCCGAAAATAACTCAGATCGACTCTGAAAACGGAATATCCAGTTTCGAATAAACGATCGCATTTATTAATTGAAAAAAATCGAAAAATCTCGACGAATTTAAAGTGGTCGTGAATTATGCTTTTCGAAGACAATTAACGGAACGAAAGAAAAAACGCCGGGTTTATAAATAACGTGCACGCACATTGTTCCAATCTCTAAAAATACCGCGTCGCGTGCAGTCAGTTTCGTCTCGTTGTGTACGAACGAACGGGGAAACCGTTCAAAGATAGCCGAGAGGGCTCTTTTTTTTTTATCTTATTTATTTATTTTCCCTCTCTTCCCTTTTCTCACCGCGACACGAGTACGTATGGATCGTTTCGGACGAAATGGGGTGCGAAGCGATTTTTCTGGCCGCGAGAGGATCGAGCGAGTGAGACGAGAAAGAGACTTTAGATGGATGTTATATATCTCGCCACGTGTTCGTTCTGATGCTACGTGTTTCCGATAGGTGGGATGAAAATAGACGTTTTGCGCGTATGGATTTGCGAACGATGGGTTTAGTTCAGTTTTTTTTAGAATACCTCTTAGCAGCGAAGAAATTTGAAGGAAGAAGTGTTAAACGATACGAAAATCTTTTTTTCATGATTAATTAATATTAATGAAGATATTGGAAAAACGATTGTTGATACTGCAAAAGCATGTAAATTTATAAAATTTTTAGTATTACTATTTTCTTTTTTCTTTTTTTTGCGTTTTGTTGATAAAGCTGTTTTATTAATATGTGACGTAAGCAATGTCGACAGTAAGCGAGTAGGCGTTGACGATTCAATACGAATGTTTTAGTTATAGATATGCTTCGATTGGCACGAGGAAATGCGTACAAGATAAAGTGGATTACTTTAATTTTTTTTTTTACTTATTAATATGTTTTGGCTAGAGTTTCGAGATGTTAAAAAAAAAATCTAAAAACTTCAAGTATTATACAACAATATTTTGAGAACTAGAAAAATGTTTCAATTATAAGCTTATAATTCTTCGATGGTACATGTAATAGTTAACACTAGATAATATAACAATATAAAAAGTGATAAGGCATGCGGTTAATTCGTACCCCACCCATATCACCCACATGAAATCTTAAGAATACAGGTGTAAAACACACCTTCTCCTTCCGTTTTTTATCGAATCCCAAAGAATCCATTGACACCTACGTGTTCGAGATAAAACTGGACTGGTATCGAAAGAGTTTACTACTACTAAGAATTATCGTCGAAACCATTAAACTATTATCGCTATTATCGCATCGCGCCTTGTTTTCTAGAGTAGCACACCAGTTTTCCACGCGATGGAATGCATCAATAAGGTCGTAACTACTCGGTATACAAAAAAAAAAAGAAATAGTTAAAGATGTCGAGGTTAAAATAATTATAATTCTTACTAAAAAAAAATCTGGTTTTCTCGTGTAGTCTCCTTCTTTGCATAAATACGATGTATTTTTAATTTTAATTACGTAATCATTGTTTCTTATTATTACGCGAAATCGTTTTTCACGAATAATACGATAATAATGATGATTCACGCCGAGATATTTTCTCTTGTAATTAGAATTATAAAAGGATATCGTTTTTTATCGAATTTTAAAGGGAGAGCAAAAAATTTCGTGGAGTGTTTGTTCTCTGGGCCAACACTCGGCTAGCATCGGCTAACATCGGGCAACATCGGATACATAGCAATTATATACAAGTAGTACAAGCGTAGTTTCGTTGTCCGTAGTTTTACACTGACAGGTGTGACTGAAACAGTACTTACTATTTTTATTTAAGTCTCAAAATTCTATTTTGTTCTTATAATTTTATCTTTAGCATTATTTATGAGCAACATCGTGTTCGTAAAACGATAGATAAAACTGCTTTACGATTACATTTCGTGAGAAATGTATAATGTCGCGTGTCTATTTATTAGATAGATGCGAATCTATTTATTTATTATTTATTGTTGTTCATTTGTTTGAAAGTCATCGGGGAATTCCATCGAGAAGTTAAATGGATGTTTTGTAGAAAAAGTGTGGATAATTGATTCGATCATTTATTCTAGTAGATATGAGGATAGAGGAAGCAATGGCAATAGTAGTAAACACGTTTTACATTACAGCGAAAGAAACGTATGCATTATTGTTGAAAGTTTGAAATATTTATTTTACGTAGAAAATAAAGATATATATATATATATATATACACAATAATTTTCGGATGAGTGAGTATTTTCAAAATAGACGTGGAATGTAATTCGTGTTTATAGTTATAATTCTTAATTGAGCATAATTTATGTTTATGAAATTGTATAAGAAAAGAGAAGAATTTAGAAAAAAGAAGAATTATGTTTTGACGTGTTTAATTATTTCCGCTGCCGTTTATTCACGTTATGAAAGAAAGCCTTGTATATTGGAAAATTTTAAACTATTAGCGGTAAAGGAATTCGAGAGTTTGTTTCATAAAATGAAATTCGAATAAAAATATTTGTTTTTTGTTCGATAGTGAATGCAAGAAATATAGCTAAGAGTTTTTTGTAAATTGGCTCGCGCAGTAGAAGTGGATCGAGGCGAAAAAATTGAAAGCAACGTGTCGAATGTGCCGTTAGAACTTCAATAGAAGATCAATCCCATTTTCTATGGAAACGATGTACTTTTTATTAAATGTTCAATAGTTTTTCTTTTTCTTTTTTTATAAAATGTAACATCATCGTTTTTTTAATTATTATACGACCTGATGAAAATATAAATACGAATAAGTTTTCTTTCTCCAAACTTAATTAAATCGCATGTTTCATAAAGTGTGACATATAATATTAAAGGACGATCGCCATGAAACCGTTAAGAAGACTGTTTTGAAATCCAAACGAGTTGCATAAGACGCAACGTTAAAGAGACACGATCACCTTATTGCAACGTGCGAACACCGTTATTCACGATCTAATATAATTACGTTAGATCGTATCGATGTT